AAAAAAAAAAACAATAGAGATGTTCAACCATTGGTAAACAATAGAGATGTTCAGCCATGACATGAATTGAAATCCAAAGGATAAGAAGCCCTAATTTCAGACACCATTGGCTTACCTGAAGATGTTTGGGCGAAGGGGATGAGTCCAGACCGTCCAAGGACACTGTACATCAAGTTCACGAGCGAGCTCTTGCCAGAATTATGGAAACCTACTAACAGTAAAGTGACAACCGGAGGAATGTCCATCTCTTCCTTCCTAATTCCCCCGGTGGGCATCCAGAAATCCCCAGAACGGTACGCGAGAAGCTTGTGCCGAAGCTCGTCGAGACCTTCGGGTGCAATCAAGGCCAGCCGCTCCATTTCTCTGAGAACTTTGATTCTGGGTGTGATCTTTGACAGGTTCGGCATCTCCAACTTGAACTTTGCCAGTTCCTCGAACTTTGCCGCCGATCTCCACCAACACCACGCTGCCTCCGACGAATTATGCTCGTCTTCGTCCGCAATCGGTAGTTGATCTTTCATGTCTACCTTTGAAAATTATGATGTTTATGTTGAAATGGTGGCAAACTGTTTGAGATGTATAATCATTTGGTCAAGTCTTACTGTTTTTGATGATTTTGCCGGGGAAGATGGGGACAAAAGAGTCCTTTCCGTCGGTTGTCCATGTGACTAGCATCTTGCTCATCAACAGAGCGACCATCGTCGATCGTCGGGCAGTGAAAGAAGTTTCCAAGAACCTTCTTGGCTCAGTACTGTATTTTGTATTTGTACTCTGCAATAATTTTTTTTTTTTTGAACTGTTCTCTGCAATAATTGGAAATACCCTTTTGCAAACGTTCACACAACTAATAACCCAAAATAGCTCGAGTGGAAACCACGAACAACTTGGGTTATCTTCAAAAACGAGGTATAAATTTATACGTCGTAAATTCAAATTTTAAAAACCCTTAATATTAGGCTTTTAAATTCCTCAGGGCCAAGCTCCTAAATATTCTTAATCACAACATAGATAATTTATCTTCGATCAAACTGAAAAAAATCTATATAATAAAGTACAATACAATTCAAATTTCAAAAGATAAACAAAATGACTTTTATTTTTTGTGACTGAGATCTTTTTAAATTTTATTTTAAAATTAATTTAATGACTAATATTAATATCTTAAATTTAATAAAAAAATAAATCTTTAAAGGTATGTATAGAGTGACTTTTTAAAAGTACTTCAAAAATTTATATGATGGTCGCCACTCACCACCATCATATTATTGTCCACCATCACCCGTCGTTAACGACCACTATCACCAACCCCCACAACATTTACCATCATTGTCATTCGTCATCACGCATCATACTGTTGTCCAGAAACATCCATCGTCGCCCACGACCGCCACCACTAGTGACGTCGCCCCACCACGATCACGATGACCGGTAACAACTATCATCGTCGCCCACTCACACCCACCACCACCACCGTCACCCATGACTGTCACTATTACCATCACCGTTGTCATCCACAACTACCAACACCACCACAATTATTGTCTCCCATCATAACCATCACCGTCTCTTACTACCACAACTGTCACCCATCATCTCTCACCCCAATTACAATCGATGATTAAATTCATTTCTTTCCTCTATGATTGTGATTGTGATTGTAATTTAATTTTAGACATGAATACAAATATATTTATTATTGACCTTTTTTTATTACTCTGTGCCTTCAAGCCACAGATAATAACTAGTATAAAAATAAACTGAGTCAAATACCATTAAGCACCCTTCACCGTTTTAAAAAAAAAAAAAAATTACAGTTGATTCATCCAAATCTCCTAATGTCTACCACAAGCCGAATCAATGTGACGGCTCAGTTCATAAAATCTAATAACGTTAATTAGAGGCAATAATACATGCATGCTCATTAATAAATTTGCTTTCCACCATGAAAGCAGACTCACCGTCACCAAATAAATAAAGGGAAATTTCCTCCCTTCGTCCACCAATGAATGATATAAAAGGACAGGATATTTACTAGTCCAGATTCCAAATGTTGGGATGTTTGATCTACCAGGCAGTTCAGTAGTATACTTCTCAGACAGCAACCATGGTTTTTGCAGCCAAAAAATAAAATGGAAAATTCGTTTAAAACATAGTTACCAGTTTAGAATCGTTCTACAAGTACTGTCACTTCAGATCTTATAGATAAAACATACTATAAGAATTGAACACAAACAAATACTATCAAGATCACAAAATCTAGCAAAGGGCATAATTGGTTTAGAACAGTATATAATACTAACAGGTACCAATCTTTATATACTTCACAGAACAGGAGGTTTTTCAACATTAATACATAATGAACAACTTTCTTTTTCGTCTCCCTAGAATAATACATGCCCAAGGACGCAAGCCCTGTCTAACCAGAAAGACCAAAAGACAAACATCAACTATCACTCGCACAAAACTTAACCAGATGACTTAACCAGACCAAAAAACTTCACAAAATAACACAATATACCTGTTCCTCTATTCCTCCTTGCTATAAGCAAAAGCAAGATCCAGGATAGCATGCTTTTACCGCAGCATATCCCTAATCCTTTACCCCCACAACTAGGGCACATGGAAAACAATTTAAGAAAAAAAAAAAAGNGATGATTTTGCCGGGGAAGATGGGGACAAAAGAGTCCTTTCCGTCGGTTGTCCATGTGACTAGCATCTTGCTCATCAACAGAGCGACCATCGTCGATCGTCGGGCAGTGAAAGAAGTTTCCAAGAACCTTCTTGGCTCAGTACTGTATTTTGTATTTGTACTCTGCAATAATTTTTTTTTTTTTTAACTGTTCTCTGCAATAATTGGAAATACCCTTTTGCAAACGTTCACACAACTAATAACCCAAAATAGCTCGAGTCGAAACCACGAACAACTTGGGTTATATTCAAAAACGAGTTATAAATTTATGCGTCGTAAATTTAAATTTTAAAAACCCTTAATATTAGGCTTTTAAATTCCTTAGGGCCAAGCTCTTAAATATTCTTAATCACAACATAGATAATTTATCTTCGATCAAACTGAAAAAAATCTATATAATAAAGTACAATACAATTTAAATTTCAAAAGATAAACAAAATGACTTTTATTTTTTGTGACTGAGATCTTTTTAAATTTTATTTTAAAATTAATTTAATGACTAATATTAATATCTTAAATTTAATAAAAAAATAAATCTTTAAAGGTATGTATAGAGTGACTTTTTAAAAGTACTTCAAAAATTTATATGATGGTCGCCACTCACCACCATCATATTATTGTCCACCATCACCCGTCGTTAACGACCACTATCACCAACCCCCACAACATTTACCATCATTGTCATTCGTCATCACGCATCATACTGTTGTCCAGAAACATCCATCGTCGCCCACGACCGCCACCACTAGTGACGTCGCCCCACCACGATCACGATGACCGGTAACAACTATCATCGTCGCCCACTCACACCCACCACCACCACCGTCACCCATGACTGTCACTATTACCATCACCGTTGTCATCCACAACTACCAACACCACCACAATTATTGTCTCCCATCATAACCATCACCGTCTCTTACTACCACAACTGTCACCCATCATCTCTCACCCCAATTACAATCGATGATTAAATTCATTTCTTTCCTCTATGATTGTGATTGTGATTGTAATTTAATTTTAGACATGAATACAAATATATTTATTATTGACCTTTTTTTATTACTCTGTGCCTTCAAGCCACAGATAATAACTAGTATAAAAATAAACTGAGTCAAATACCATTAAGCACCCTTCACCGTTTTAAAAAAAAAAAAAAATTACAGTTGATTCATCCAAATCTCCTAATGTCTACCACAAGCCGAATCAATGTGACGGCTCAGTTCATAAAATCTAATAACGTTAATTAGAGGCAATAATACATGCATGCTCATTAATAAATTTGCTTTCCACCATGAAAGCAGACTCACCGTCACCAAATAAATAAAGGGAAATTTCCTCCCTTCGTCCACCAATGAATGATATAAAAGGACAGGATATTTACTAGTCCAGATTCCAAATGTTGGGATGTTTGATCTACCAGGCAGTTCAGTAGTATACTTCTCAGACAGCAACCATGGTTTTTGCAGCCAAAAAATAAAATGGAAAATTCGTTTAAAACATAGTTACCAGTTTAGAATCGTTCTACAAGTACTGTCACTTCAGATCTTATAGATAAAACATACTATAAGAATTGAACACAAACAAATACTATCAAGATCACAAAATCTAGCAAAGGGCATAATTGGTTTAGAACAGTATATAATACTAACAGGTACCAATCTTTATATACTTCACAGAACAGGAGGTTTTTCAACATTAATACATAATGAACAACTTTCTTTTTCGTCTCCCTAGAATAATACATGCCCAAGGACGCAAGCCCTGTCTAACCAGAAAGACCAAAAGACAAACATCAACTATCACTCGCACAAAACTTAACCAGATNTTAAATTTCAAAAGATAAACAAAATGACTTTTATTTTTTGTAACTGAGATTTTTTTAAATTTTATTTTAAAATTAATTTAATGACTAATATTAATACCTTAAATTTAATAAAAAAATAAGTCTTTAAAGGTATGTTTGGAGTGACTTTTTAAAAGTACTTCAAAAATTTATATGATGGTCGCCACCCACCACCATCATATTATTGTCCACCACCACCCATCGTTAACGACCACTATCACCAACCCCTACAACATTTACCATCATTGTCATTCGCCATCACGCATTATACTGTTGTCCAGAAACATCTATCGTCGCCCACGACCGCCACCACTAGTGACGTCGCCCCACCACGATCACGATGACCGGTAACAACTATCACCGTCGCCCACTCACACCCACCACCACCACCACCACCACCACCGTCACCCATGACTGTCACTATTACCATCACCGTTGTCATCCACAACTACCATCACCACCACAATTATTGTCTCTCATCATAACCATCACCGTCTCCTATTACCACCACTGTCGCCCACCATCTCTCACCCCAATTACAATCGATGATTAAATTCATTTCTTTCCTCTATGATTGTGATTGTGATTTAATTTTAAACATGAATATAAATATGTTTATTATTGACTTTTTTTTATTACTCTGTGCCTTCAAGCCACATATAATAACTAGTATAAAAATAAACTGAGTCCAATACCATTAAGCACCCTTCACCGTTTTAAAAAAAAAAAAAAATTACAGTTGATTCATCCAAATCTCCTAATGTCTACCACAAGCTGAATCAATGTGACGGCTAAGTTCATAAAATCGAATAACGTTAATTAGAGGCAATAATACATGCATGCTCATTAATAAATTTGCTTTCCACCGTGAAAGCAGACTCACTGTCACCAAATAAATGAAGGGAAATTTCCTCCCTTCGTCCACCAATGAATGATATAAAAGGACAGGATATTTACTAGTCCAGATTCCAAATGTTGGGATGTTTGATCTACCAGGCAGTTCAGTAGTATACTTCTCAGACAGCAACCATGGTTTTTGCAGCCAAAAAATAAAATGGGAAATTCGTTTAAAACATAGTTACCAGTTTAGAATCGTTCTACAAGTACTGTCACTTCAGATCTTATAGATAAAACATACTATAAGAATTGAACACAAACAAATACTATCAAGATCACAAAATCTAGCAAAGGGCATAATTGGTTTAGAACAGTATATAATACTAACAGGTACCAATCTTTATATACTTCACAGAACAGGAGGTTTTTCAACATTAATACATAATGAACAACTTTCTTTTTCGTCTCCCTAGAATAATACATGCCCAAGGACGCAAGCCCTGTCTAACCAGAAAGACCAAAAGACAAACATCAACTATCACTCGCACAAAACTTAACCAGATGACTTAACCAGACCAAAAAACTTCACAAAATAACACAATATACCTGTTCCTCTATTCCTCCTTGCTATAAGCAAAAGCAAGATCCAGGATAGCATGCTTTTACCGCAGCATATCCCTAATCCTTTACCCCCACANCCAAAAAACTTCACAAAATAACACAACATACCTGTTCCTCTATTCCTCCTTGCTATAAGCAAAACCAAGATCCAGGATAGCATGCTTTTACCGCAGCATATCCCTAATCCTTTACCCCCACAACTAGGGCACATGGAAAACAATTTAAGAAAAAAAAAAAAAAAAAAACCAAAGTACAAAATAGGGACTGAAATAAAGACTCAATCGTTTGTTCAATTCCTCCTACATAAAGATTTCAAAAAAGTGTTTACCCTTNATACTGTTGTCCAGAAACATCCATCGTCGCCCACGACCGCCACCACTAGTGACGTCGCCCCACCACGATCACGATGACCGGTAACAACTATCACCGTCGCCCACTCACACCCACCACCACCACCACCACCACCACCGTCACCCATGACTGTCACTATTACCATCACCGTTGTCATCCACAACTACCATCACCACCACAATTATTGTCTCTCATCATAACCATCACCGTCTCCTATTACCACCACTGTCGCCCACCATCTCTCACCCCAATTACAATCGATGATTAAATTCATTTCTTTCCTCTATGATTGTGATTGTGATTTAATTTTAAACATGAATATAAATATGTTTATTATTGACTTTTTTTTATTACTCTGTGCCTTCAAGCCACATATAATAACTAGTATAAAAATAAACTGAGTCCAATACCATTAAGCACCCTTCACCGTTTTAAAAAAAAAAAAAAATTACAGTTGATTCATCCAAATCTCCTAATGTCTACCACAAGCTGAATCAATGTGACGGCTAAGTTCATAAAATCGAATAACGTTAATTAGAGGCAATAATACATGCATGCTCATTAATAAATTTGCTTTCCACCGTGAAAGCAGACTCACTGTCACCAAATAAATGAAGGGAAATTTCCTCCCTTCGTCCACCAATGAATGATATAAAAGGACAGGATATTTACTAGTCCAGATTCCAAATGTTGGGATGTTTGATCTACCAGGCAGTTCAGTAGTATACTTCTCAGACAGCAACCATGGTTTTTGCAGCCAAAAAATAAAATGGGAAATTCGTTTAAAACATAGTTACCAGTTTAGAATCGTTCTACAAGTACTGTCACTTCAGATCTTATAGATAAAACATACTATAAGAATTGAACACAAACAAATACTATCAAGATCACAAAATCTAGCAAAGGGCATAATTGGTTTAGAACAGTATATAATACTAACAGGTACCAATCTTTATATACTTCACAGAACAGGAGGTTTTTCAACATTAATACATAATGAACAACTTTCTTTTTCGTCTCCCTAGAATAATACATGCCCAAGGACGCAAGCCCTGTCTAACCAGAAAGACCAAAAGACAAACATCAACTATCACTCGCACAAAACTTAACCAGATGACTTAACCAGACCAAAAAACTTCACAAAATAACACAATATACCTGTTCCTCTATTCCTCCTTGCTATAAGCAAAAGCAAGATCCAGGATAGCATGCTTTTACCGCAGCATATCCCTAATCCTTTACCCCCACAACTAGGGCACATGGAAAACAATTTAAGAAAAAAAAAAAAAAAGGAAAAACCAAAGTACAAAATAGGGACTGAAATAAAGACTCAATCGTTTGTTCAATTCCTCCTACATAAAGATTTCAAAAAAGTGTTTACCCTTTAACATAGTTTCAGGCATCACTCAGCCCACTTTTATTCAGGCCCTGTAGATGAGCAAACATATAGCGGTGGCATCTCCTCAATTAGACTAAAACGCAGATTGAAACTTGGCCTGAAGGTGCCACGCCTTCCTGAACCCAATGGATTGGACTATGACTTTATTCCGACATGAACATATCAGCCTGCAAATATCAGACCTCAATGAGTGTAGTTGCTTAATAAAACTGACTATTACAAAATGATGGTCTCTTCAAAATCTATGGGAATGTTGTATGAGTATCCTCCTATCAGGAGCATACATGCTACACGTTGAGTACAGATCAAATGAAGGTCAATTTACAGATCACATGAAGGTCAAATTACAGATCACATGCAACTGACTTGCACATCCAGCCAAGTTAGGCCATGCAAGGAACCCACTTTTGCCACGATATAACCATTCGTAGGGTCAAAACTATAAACAAAGAAGTATTATAAAAAGCACATTACCAGATAAATAATCTCACTTTAACAACTGCTCCAAGTGGAAGTGCATTCCTTCAACTGAAACTGAATCCACCAGATGGAACTGGGACTTCATTTCCTCCAAACTGAAATCCTGATTGAGAGGCATCACCTGGCGGCAACTGCTCATCATCCTCCAACCAATACGTTTCAAGAATCTTCACTGCCTTCTCATATATTTCGTTGTTGTCATGGCTCTGAAGGTTTTCAATCTTCTCTAAACCCTCTGCTGCATCTATCAACTGGGCATAGACATTTACATCGCCTGTGTTACCCAAGTTTTTCTCAGCTTCCCCAACCTTTAGAATATTTTCAAGCCCTTCCAAGCAGACAGTAACTATCCTTGGATCAGGGCAAATTAGGAGATCACACAATGGCTTTATACAACCCTGGCTCACCAAGAACCTAACCACCAGTGAAAAAATCACACCTCAAATCAATATGTAGAAGAAAACTGTCCAGAGTAGAGAATAAATTGTTAGAAGTCAACAATACTTGATTTGCTCGTGGGTTCCACCAGATGTAGCATTTGAAATTGCCCAAGCAGCCTCTTTCTTGATCTCAAACTCAGCGCTTTGAAGGAGTTGGACAAGAGGGGCAATAATACCGGCTTCGATTACAGCCTGCAGATTACAAAACACATGCCTTGAGGTTCATTACAAAGCAATGTACAATCTAGGATAACTTAGAGCATTAGACACAAAGCCTCTAACGAATGCAACATGGACAGGTCAACAAATCCAACCCAAATATTACACACCCCAAATTAAATTCGGCCAACACTCAGGATGGGAGCATCAAGCCGATGGCCCAACCGAACCCACCCTAATAACCCAGTTTAAATAATCAGGTTCAAACTGTGTTGAACAAAATAGTACTCAGGTTTTAAACAACTTTTTGCCTCCACCTCATTTCCACTGCTCTCTGAAACCTTAAACTCCCATTGCACTAGCACTCTAGTATCAACCCAAAAAACTCATCTCATCTCTCTCGGTCACATATGCACAAGCATAAAGCAGCATTTACGGCATATATTGGCTTTGGAATCAAGGCTACACTGCCATTACATGAGCTGATTGCATTGAGTGAAACTCTAGAAGCAAGCGTTACTCCATTTTTTGGTCTCTTGGAGATAATTCTGAAGTTAAATTTATCAGAGATTCAGAATTATTCATGGAAAGGACAAACAAGACTGAGAAATAGAGATAGGGGCCACAAGTTCAAACAATAGCACACAAAACAGTTAGAGCTTTATTAGCCATGGTGGGTGGAACACAGTGCTGGAGAGGATTGCACTGGTGTGCCTATCATTGGTACAGGGATGTGTGCTGCATTTGTCCTGCCGCGTGTAGTGTGTGTCGATATCCTTTACTACTTTTCAAGTTTCAGGTAGATAGATTAAAGATTTCGGATGATTCAAGTATCATACTCTGACAAAGTATCTATTTTCCGAGTTAGATCTATGACCAACTGATAAATCCAGTGAGTCTAAGAAATAGTGGTAACATTAGTATTTTAAAGGCAACAGGTCCGTAAGTTGAGTAACTAGGCGGCTTCAATCCAAAATTCAACCAGAAAATGGAGTATTAACTTCCAACTAGAGTATTGGTAAAATAAACTCAAATTTGATAACCCAAGTTCAAATACTTAAACATGCACAGTTCTCAGGTTGCATGTTTCGGTTTGAGCTCAGGTGCAGATTGAGCTAGAGTTGGAATTTTTATAACTTAGATTGAGCTTGAGCTGACCCTCAACCCACCCTAGTTGCGCTCTTAATGCCTCTGATATGCTCACCTGTATCTGATCCCTATTCCCTGCAGTGATGTTCGAGATAGTCCAACAAGCTTCCTTCTTGATACTCTTCTTAAAATTATTTGTCAACAGGTTCACGAGGCAAGGAAGAGCTTGATGGTTTATAATAACCTGAAAAGAATTGACAGCGTCAGATTGTCAGCTACTGAAGGCATGTTTGACATGTTCAAATCTCTGAAAAATGGAAAATCAATGCTAAGATCAAAGTCAAGCCCGGTGAAACAAGAAAGCTACGATGCAAAGCTCTCAACATCAAAATAAAGAGAGAAAACAAAAGGTAAGAGGGAGGGGGGGAATAAATCTCATATACACCTCTCCAAAACATGATGGGGAACAAAAAGCCCATATCTGAAATTGCATCCTGGCACATTATTGCAACCAATAGAAGCTGTGTTGAAGTTCACTATTGAATTCAAACATGTCCGCTTATCAAAGACAGCAAAAAAAGAAAGATCGATAGAACTGAATCAAAAAGAAGAAAAAAAAAAAACAAAGCGTCACCAACAATTTAAACCCAATTCAACTCGACAAAACTTTATGCCCACTGTTTGGGCTTACCACATAAATTCGTAAGTACAATAAATCAGCACAAAAACAAAAAAACACAACTGAAAATGCCATCAATATGCAGATCTAGGGAGTTGTTTCGGCAATGTCATTAGCCAAATATATGCACATGTTATTTAAGTAACTTTAACAAGCGGGAAGGCTAGCTTTCCGCATATTTGCGTACATAGGTACGAGTATGTTTTTAAACACACACACACACAGGAGACAAAAAGATACAATATTTTGAGCATAAAATGGTGTCCAGTACCTGAGTTTGAATATCATCCCCTGTAACAATATTGCCAACTGTGCGCAAAGCAGGAATAAGAACTGAAGATGAAGGATGACTGAAAACCAAAAAGTTGGATGTTCAGGTATCTCAAGTAAAAGGTTAGAAAAATATCTTACAACCACAGACAACAAAAAATTGCCCCAAAAATCATAAAGAAAATATAGCACTTACAGTAACAACTCGACCAGACGTGAGCAGACACCAGCCTCAATGACGGCTTGAATTTTGTCATTAGTACCATCAGAAAGGTATGACATTGCCCAGCATGCATCCGTGAGGACTTCTTCATCGTTTGAATGTATAAGACGAGCAAGAGCGGGTAGGGAGGGCTTCGTCTGTTTCATTATTTCAAAAGCATAAACACCCGAGAAACAAGCATCAGGGGAAAAACTAATTGAAAAGGGGGAAACATAGGAGGAAGGGGATCTTCCAAGAGTCTAACCTGCTCAAATTGAGGTTGTGGCTTGCCCCTACAAAAATTTGACAAAGTCCATGTTGCATTTCTTAACATGGAAAGTTTTGCATGCTCATTGAACTGTGCCAGCAATGGCATCAAAGCCCCATGATTCAGGACAAGATCACGGCATTTGGGTGAGTCACCAGCAACATTCCCCAATGCCCAAACAGCCTAGACAATTCGAATAATTTATGTATCATTATTCACAGAACCAACAGACAGGTAACTGTCCGTATTAGCACAACACATATTAGAAGTAATGCATAACAAAGAATGCATGAACTTGCAAGCTTTTACAAACGATAGGTAGGTAGGTACCTGTTCACGAACATCGTCACTAGGAGAAGCAAGAAGTCTTACAAAGATTAGAACTGCACCGTGATCGATCACAACTTTGGTGTTTTCAGAGGTACCAGATGCAATATTTGTAAGAGCCCAAGCTGCCTCAAACTAAAATAAAACCAAGACATAAGAAAACAAAAACAAAAAAAATCAACGATACCACACAAAAAAAAAAATCAGTTATCATGAAGTCCAAAGTTCAAACCTGGAGTTGTGGGTAGTCATCCCTAGCAAGAAACTCAATAAAACGGGGAACAACTCCTGATTGTATCACTTCCTCAATTGGAGGATTGCGTTCTGATGAAAGAATAAAAGACTAAATTAACTAAAGAAGGGAAAGTTGAAACAAACAGATTTCTTTTTTTCTGAACAAGATAAAATAGAAAACCTATTGATAGCAGTTTCCGAAATTGAGTGGTGGCTTCAAGCTGTAAATTGCTGTCATTTGACCAAACACCAGCAACCATTGCGGGAAGACTTTCTAACTGCAACCAAGGTAGCATATAGAATTCCATAAACTTTGAATTCAGGAATACCTATCAGTTTACACTTTACAAACAAGCACTAACACACATCCATAACAATGTCATATCCCTATTTTCCCCTTTCAACACATAGCAAGTAATGGAATGTGACTTAACAGAGGCAGAGCCACGTAAGGATAAGGGAAGCACTTGTTCCCCAAAAACAAATGTTTTATTTTTTTATTGAATAAAAAATATGTGAAATGTCATAGCCGGTATATAGATTTGACTAAATATATTTCAATTTTTTTGTGTCATTTTTGCTCATATTTTATTTAGAATAAATAGAAACTAGTTTTATTAGTCTTAAATCTTATAAATCTTGTCATGCTTGGATTTCAATTTTTTTTTTCTTTGCATTGATTGTATACATCTGAATCTCCCCAAACCCCACACCCCACAGCAACAGAAAGCCGCGTGCCTTGGCCATTTTTGATAAATTTCTTTAATCATATTTGTCCCCCTAACCTGTCTTAAAAGATAAATTAAGACAAGAATAACAGCCAAAGATTGAATCACTTTGAAGGTGATTAGCCTCCTACCACGAAAATATGTATTTTTTCTCCTCTTCATCAAGATTAGATTTAGGTTAGCTTCCCACTTACTAAGGATGCATCCATGCTGGCTTCAACATTATAGTAAGGAGATGGTATTCAACTCACAGGGGTCCTTGCCGGACAACAGACACCCCTCCTCTCCATGTTCTGCGAATATCTTCTTTGCTATATATCAATTTTTCTATTGGTATTCTATTGCCATGTATATACAGTTTGTTATCAATATCTCTCCCAATATGTCAGGACTCTTTCACCAATACTGAATAGTGTATGATTCTACATCAAATACTTCATTAACTATCCCCGCTCATCACGCGGCGACCGATAACCAAAAGAATAGCGACAAATCAAATAGATTAAGTTGAAAATAAACAAGAATAAGCTAATATCACTCTTGGTATTCACCAATAAATAGTACAATCAACTCCAGGGCTTGAACTTTAAACAAAGAAAAAACATACTCAAACACGCACGAACCTTCTTTTCGAGTTGAGAGACGTTGACGCTGTTTGGGAACTGCTGAGCTTGAAGGCCCTCGCGACGCTTCTTGAGCAGGCTTTCTTCTCTTCTGCTCTTTCGGATCTCAACCATGTTGTCCTCTCTCCTACGCCTGCCTTCCTCTGCATCGACGGCGACCTTGTATCGGCTCCGACGAACCTCAGTCCTTGCGCTGGGCCTCAGTGACATATTTGCTCGATCGAATAAGAACCCTAACTCGCTATACGAACAATCCAAGTAAGTAGTATTCGCAGATAATCAGTCAGGTTCGAGGGTCGGTAGAGATTAAAACCAAAAAATGCAAGAGAGAGAGAGAGAGAGAGAGAGAGAGAGAGAGAGAGAGAGAGAGAGAGAGAGAGAGAGAGAGAGTGAAGAGGGGGGGGGNAGAGATTAAAACCAAAAAATGCAAGAGAGAGAGAGAGAGAGAGAGAGAGAGAGAGAGAGAGAGAGAGAGAGAGAGAGACAGAGAGAGAGTGTGGAGACGGTGGCGGTCCAGAAAGAAGTGAAAGCGCTGAAGTAAGAAGGGTTTGGATGCTTTTTCCAAAGAGTCCAGATGAGCGATCATTATAGCGGTTAATTAAACTATCGCTAAATACGAGAAGGGACTGATGTTAAGATTATTAACGGAAATACCATTGAATTTGAATTTTAATGTCAGGTGTGTGGTTAGCTGGGCGGCAATTGCTTACTTTCCAAGGAATGTACTTCCATTATATCTCTACCGTCTCTATGGTGGACTTGACTCCATTAGGGAAGAAATAATTTCGGTATTGTAGTTTTAATTTTTATTATAAAAATATTTTATAGGAAAAATTACACTCATATTCTTTAAGATTTGTCATTTAATCACTCAGACCTCCTGATATTTAAAATATTATACTCAGACCTCTTAAAATTTATACGCACGAAACACTTAGACATCTACTGTAAATATATCTATTAATAAATTATATTTAAACTCCCTGAAGTTTGTAAACGTATATTATTTAAACCCTTTAACTTTAAAATGTTATATTTACACCAAAAATATTTTAATCAAAGATAAAATATTAAATATTTTAAATATTACAATTAAAATTAATGT